CATTGTCTCCAAGTTTCATTTTCACGTGAACAGCGGTAGCTATTGTTGTGCACGAAAATATGAAACTTGGACACAATACCCTGAATAATGAGAGGTTCACACTTGTAAACACAAAATTTCTGCCAAAATATTGGCGAATTGTAGCCCTTATTTTACTGCCTTATAATATATCAATAATCTTGAAACTAAAAGGTCACATAAAAGGAAGGTTAATCTCAAGAATATTAAATTTTTAAAAAAATCTATCGAGCGGCTTAAAAATTATTCGCTAATTTGTTAAAGTAGACCAAAATGTTCAAAAAACCGCTAACAGAGCGCCTCGATACATACTAATCAAATCCCTCTTTCTACCAAACTGCTGAAGCTATCTCCTTGATCTTTCACACATGTCTTTAAAAAGATTGAAACTACCATGAGGTGAAATTACATGTCAAAAGCGCTTCGTTTTCTACAGATAACAGCCGAACACCAAGACTGTCCATTTTTTCCCGTATCTCTAACCACAAACTCTTTATCCCAAAATATCTCGATAATGCTGTAACACATTTCCCTTAAACTTCACGAACATCGAGGCTGCTATTGGAGGAAAAAGCTCCCGTGAATGATTTTCGAAGAACAGTTCCTAGTGCCGAGATATACTGCTGCAAGTAAAATAGGTAATAGCGTCATTTCGCTGCTATGACAACTCCGATGCCGTTGCAACCCTGATCATAACAAATCTTCATCTTTATCTAATACAACTGTGGTGGCAATTTTTCCAAAAATTTGTTTATGGCGACGTAGTTTATGCTCAAACTTGGGAGGTATTGACCCTGAAAAACTGTATCGAGCCACCTTAAGAATCTAGTTTGCTCGAGGCGTAACTACGCTCCTACTTTCTTGCTTAACAACCTCCCGCGTGTGTCTATAGCACAATTTTTTAATTATTTAAACTTATTAAAATAAATAAGACAGTGCATGATTGAATATGTTTGACACTGTCCTATGTACGTCACTATGTCTAACCATCAAAAATTAAGTGCACATTTAATTAACTCCTGCACTTGCTAAAACTAGTCAATAAAAAAAACTCTTGCAATGTAAGTAAATATTGTGTAAACGATGCGTGTTAAGCAAGCTGAAGTTATATGAAAATTGTACATGAAAATGAAAGAAACACGACACGTTCAGCATCTTTTTTAACATGAACAGTCCTCAGTAGCACAAGAAGGGCGACGAAATGGATGTAACGACATTATTGATGATTTCACTCCTCCAATTTCGGGTCGTCAAAGCTAATGACCAGTGTAGAAAATGGCAAACCTATTTTCTTCATTTCTACGTAGATGCCCTGGAGAACTCTGAGTTAGATGGCCACGCTTTTCCCGCGTTTGCCAAGATCAAACCAACTCAATGCTACCCGTGGTATGTAGATGACTGATCGGTGTTAATCGTTAAACTCCAGGGAATATAACGAAGGAAAAGTTATTGAATGAAGTTGAATGCGAGTTGAATGAGGGTAGTCACTTTACAACCCGAGCTCTCTTAAACATTCCCTGGGATCACGTTACCACAACTTTGACAGGGAATTCAGCCTATAGATATTAGAGTAATTTTACTTGAACCTGAAACAGATACTAACAAATAGTGCAAAATAGCTAGAGGCAAACAAAAGAAGACAATGGATTTAGTGCACAATAGTGCGTAGTTTTCTACTACCTATTTTACGTACGATTCAGAAGTAAAGTCACTCTGATTACAGTTAAAACAGACTACTGTTACTTTGGGATAAGTGACTAATACAAGTATCTGAGCAAGAGCATGAATTGCTGAGAAAAAGTATTGTTTAAACATTATTTCCTTGGCGTAATAGAATGTAACAGTAAAAAATAATAATAATTAATAAGGCGCAAAATAGCGTTTAACTACATGATCTAATGCGCGCAAAAATGCACACAAAAACCAACGTATTTCCAGGGTATTGTGGACTTTTTTACGGAAAGGCCTGCTAACTGAGAGAAACCCTATCACTTAAGAAAGCCGTGTTTTTATTGAGCCTAATTCCTGTTTGGATTGTTGTATTTTGTATACTCGAATGCGTCATATTGGGATACCGACGTGTATTAGTTTAGCCTGGAAACAGGTGAAATTAAAAACAACAAATAAGTGTATTTTGTATTTCAATTAAAATGATTCAAAAAATAAGCACGGTTTTTTAAAAAACATTAAGGCGCTTCCTCGTGTATCCCGATAAGTCTCATACTATTTTAGAATCATTGTTATTCAAACTTTTAGAGTCATAGTGTAAAGTCATCTGATGGTGACGTCACGAGTATTAGTGGCTGTTGCAAGAACAATCCTGGTCAAAATGGAGGAACATGTACAGAAAGCTGCCAGGCCTACAAAACTGGGGGAGAAATAAAGACTGGATTGTACACAGTGATTGATGACAGCAATCAATCTTTCCAAGTGTTCTGCGACTTTGACTCTGAACCCGGGTTTGCGTGGAACTTGATACAGTCGTTCAGCCGATCAAATACAGATCTGGTTTGGATAAGTGTTTCTATGTAATACTCGAGATTCTCAGAACTCCAACCTCGCAATTACGTTTAGAGTCGTTTCAGACAAGACGCAGAGGAAAGATCCTTACGTTAGCAGTATAGTAGACATGTTTTACTCGTTTTTTACAGGGGAATCTTATTAACTTGCGGAGGAATACATTAAAGCCAAAGACGTCATAACCTTGTCTTTATCTCATGAATAAAATGCGGGGAATCTCATTCATGTGCTATTTTTAGGAAAACTAACCGGCTGGAGAGGTATTTTAGTTATTTATCGGTCGATGAAGATCTTGCTTTGTGATTGGTTGACAAAAAAACTAAGAAAAGTATTTTAGGGAACAAGAGCTAAAAAAATTGCTGAAAGTAATAATGCAAGTTTTATTTCCTGCCGCTTTTATTGCCCAAAAAAGTTGTTCCAATTCCGGTTCACTGATTCTTAGCGCACAAATCGTCCATATTTAATGAAACGTCACTCACAGAGTGAAGTTTGCAGTCTTTCAAACTTTATCACTATGGAGAGGTTGCTCCAAGACCGTACAATTTCTTGGTAGTCGTGTGCGTTCGCTATTCGGTGAACCAAGCAACGTCCACCATGACTCCATGTCTCCTTTTTCACCCATCTCAACCAACCCTTAAAAATAGCCCACGTTCGATATAGTGAAATTCTAACATGACTTCGATGCTTTGTGGACAAAATTGCAAATTTTTCAGGACTCTATTGTCTCGCAATTGCCAGAAGAAGCTTGAGCGCAAAGAAATAAACCAAATATAGAAATATGACCAGAAAGTCTCGGAGTGATGTAAGAATTTTAAAATATCGAACGTGGGCTATTAACAATACAACTGCACTCACACGTGCGATGCGACACTCACGACGCCCATGTGTACGCTCTGATAGCGTCTTATTACAAATGCAAGTACAATAGTTTTTGAAAATTTGTTTAGGAAGAACATCTATGTCAGGCGTTATGCTTTTAAAGTCGTACTCAACATACTTGGTTAATTTGTTTTAAGAGGGCAGTAAGCGTCATGCCTAAGTAACTGAAAAGTAAGCGCCATCACGCGGGCGCTTTTAAGCCATTTAAAAATGGCTTTTTTCCAATGCTGGCACAAAAAAAAAGATCTTGGAATTGCCTGTGTCCGTGTCGTCCAATTCGGTCTGTAATCATACTCGTGGTTAAACAAATCGGACTCCCGCTACGCGATCGCCCGATTTTATTAATCACTCGTATTAATTACAGACCAAATTGAACTCCACTCAGTCCTTTCACCATTACTAATCGCCTTCTTGTTGTTTCCATTACTGATTCATATAAAAAGAAAAGAATCTCTTTCAAAAAGGATAGAAAGAAACACAGATGATGAAAATCAATAAACACAAGTTGCTGTCTACAATGAAATGCATTTCAAAGTGACAGCTTTAAAACCTTATTTCTGAAGGTTTCAGCGAATCCGTAATACTGATGCATGACTAGACTACTGTACTGCGCCCGAAATTAATTACTCTCTGCCAACAATGGCTTTAATAGTACGCATGTCATTGCGTACCTCCTTAATTAAATTCAAGAGAGGATAAATAAGCTACCCACCTGCTTGGATATTAGGGACCTTAAACAAGGACGACGACGACGACGGCAGTGAAACCTCGCTAAAAAAAATGAATTTGCGTTCTTTCAAACTTAATAGCGTCTATTTGGACCCGCTCAATATGTCAAATGAAGGCGACTTTTCCTGGAGTTGAATTCTTAAGGATTTTATTCAAGTTCAAAAAGAGAAAGGAAAATTCGTCGTCGTAAGTCCACGTCCTCCATAAAACGTCAAATTAGGAGGTTTCACGTCGTAGTCGTGCACTGGACGTCAAAGAAATGTACTAAAAAACGTGATGCACGTGCAGAGCTGTTGTTTTGATCATTAAATATATTGTTTTTTTGAAGTTGTCGTCGTCGTCGTCATCGTAGTTGCTTAAGCTCCCTATTGTGTTTTGACAACACGTGGATGGAAATGTTCAATTAACATGACAATGATAGCTAGATGTATAATATTCTTTTTCAAATATCAGTCCCTTTTGGTAAATAATTAAAGTTTTTTTTAGCTTAACCTTCTAAACAGCGTTTCCTTTAAAAAATTACCTTAAGGCTCCGGTCATCTATATCTTTCACTCCAGACCAAATTTACACCTTCATAACTTTTCTGGAATTTTAAGAAATTTACAGTCTTAGTCCGGAAACGACTATCGCTGGATTTCAGCTAAAAACCAAATGTTTACTAGAAGGAAAAAATTAATGCACGGCAGAAGGTGGATAGTCATGAAAATTGTTCATTAAGCATGCTGAAGTTATAAATACTTAAAAGGAACTTGACAAGGCAGGTACACGCAGCTTTCCTTTCACATGAACCGCAGCTCGCAGAGGAACAATAGGGTGGACCTCATAATTCGAGATGGACATAGCGAGATTAGTGATGATTTCTCTCCTCCACTTCGGGTTTGTCAAGGCAAATGACCATTGCAGAGAGGGAAAATGCCAAACATATTCTCTTGATATATACGGAGATGCCATGGAGAACTCTGAGTTAGTTAGCCATGTTTTTCACAAGTCTGCCATGATCAACCTAATTCAGTGCTTCACATGGTGTGTAGATGACTGTCGGTGTTTGTCGTTTAACTGCAAAGAAAATAAAGAAGGAAAAGTTTGCGAGTTGAATGAAGGCAGCCACTTTACAAACCAAAGCTCTCTTATACATTCCCTGGGGTCACGTTACTACATCCTTAACAGGAAATTCAGCCAAAAGGTATTACTTGATTATAGTTATTGAAACAAACTACTGATAGTTTGCGCTTTTTTAACACAAATCAATCAAGTGACTAATACAGTTATGTGAGCAAAAGCATGAAATGCTGGGAAAATGTATTTCATTGGTGTGATAAAATTTTGATGTAAAAAACCAACCCATTTCCCAGGTATTGTAGACTTAATATTGAGGAAAGTCCGGTTAACTAATATAGAAACCCTATCATTTAACAAAGTCGTTCTTTTATATGAGCCTAAATCCTGTTTGGATTGTTTTGTTTTGTGTACTTGGATGTATCATTTTGGGCTATCAGCGTGTATTAGTTTAGTATGGACGGACAGGTTAATTAAAGACTGAATGAACAAGAGCATTTTGTGACAGATGTTTCAATTCAAATGTTTCGAAAAATACTGAAGTATACAACATGTTGCCCAATGTAGTTAAGGTGTTTCGATATAGTTGTTCACAGACCATACTGATATTTTTCAATCGCTTTAAAAGTGATTTTATCCTTTTCTGATAGCTATAAATTTTCACCAATGATCGACTATAGATTTTCAATAGCCGTGATAGATTATATGATAAAAACGTTGTAAATGATTCAAATTGTTTTTAAGTAGCATCAGAATGCTGCTTAATATCATATTTCGATGCTCGGAAATTTTGGTACATTTTCGTTCTTGCGATCTCAAAAGCTAACCCGTTTTCTCAGCACCTGTCTAAGTGCAGCTTCATTCAAAATTTGGACTTTTATCGCTTTTTTGTATATCTCTGAAACGACCCGAACGCATTTTTTAAAATCTCTTAACATAATCTTTATATTGTACATAATTGTTACGCGGGCAATCTTTTAGAGGACGGGTAGCTTGCAAACTAAACTGAACGCAGGGTTGTCGGAACAGCAACAAGAAGATTTATTCCAAAAATGAACGTAGTTTCCACAAGGTAAAACTCCACAACAGCATTTAACTCGCTAAACTTACACGGCCTCCGCCAACTTCCATTAACTTGATAAACTTACACGGTCTCCGCCAACTTGAATAAACACTGCTTTCGTCACACTTGACTTAACACGACTAACGTCAAACTCTCTTCGCTTGTGAAAACTAGTTAAAACTTAACTCGAACTAGCCTAGTTATATACTTTTACAAAAAAGTTCTAGAACATTCCAAATAGTCTAATTATAGAAAGATTACAAAATATACCGCTTTTAGAAACGCTTACGCAAGATCCTAAAATAAACAAACTACGAACTATCGCGAACCTTCTAGAAAGTCACGTTTAAATGTCACACAATACAATTTTTCGTAACAATAATAATGTCTGAAACTTTCACTAAGATTGATTCACTGCAACACCTTGAAATTTCAAGACAAATCTATCCCACGAACCGGGAATTAGCATTTTTTTTGCCTTGGATGGCAAATTCCCGGGAGTGGGGACTCTTGAGCTGGCAAATGCCCCGTCCTCCGTCAACAGTGCAACATTTTTTATTGATCGCACAGTCCAATAGTGCCATTTTAATGTGCGATTTTTTGTTTCAATTAACGTCTTTCTTTGTAATAGCGCTAGGATTCTAATTAAGACTTCACGCCGCGACGACATGCACCAGTTTATGGTTTTAGTATTGATATAAAAGTATTGACATTAAAATCAACAGAGCGCTGTTAAATTATATGTTATGAATAGTTTAATAAATATGAAAGGGTGTTCTTCAAATAATATCAACAGAAATTTGATTCAATAACCGAAAAACGTTGATTCACATCGATAGCTCCAATTTCGCTATGTAATTCTGGCTTGATAAGCAATGAAGAAATGCATGCATACATGTAAAATCGTGAACATGCCTTTACAACCCTCTACAATTTATTCCTGTCCTTGACAGATGAACCAATCTGCTTTATTTCCAGTAAAACCTTCTGTGTAGTTATATTCTGATAGGAAACCGCGTGCGTGTCAAAAGCTCGGGAATGGCCCGGGGGTTGGCAAATGCCCGGCCCCCGGGCAGGGCAAAATTTGCAAATGTCCCACCCCTGGGGGGGGGGGGGGCTGGGCGCAGGTGGAATTGACTGATGCATTAGTTTTCAACATCGCAAGAACGGAAGTACATCAAAATTTCCTGGCATCAAAATATGATATTAAGCAGCATTCTGGCGCTACTTAACAATAATTTGAGTCATTCACAACGTTTTTATCAAATAATCTATCACGGCTATTGAAAATTTAAGGTTTGAAATATAATTTCGTTTTAGTCGATATTCAAATATACAGAATTTTTTACTTCTTACGGAGATTGTTTGCTAAACACCAAACTTTAAGTTTCTAGCGTTGAAAATTCAGCAGCTGGTCTGGATCACACAAAATTCGGCTTTTATCAGTTTCAATGTTTTTTGTTTATCGTCCGATTTTACTTAAAACTACATTTTCACAAATTTCAATCCATAGCCAATTAATGGTGAAAACTTGAAAGCGATCAGACAAGGAAAAAACACTTTTAAGGCCATTGAAAAATATCGGGTATGGCCTCTGAAAAACTGTATCGAAACACCTTAATCCAGATGTCTTTTTAGTTATTATTTTCTTCAATATAACTCAAATTTCAGTAAATGTTAGAAAATTTCGGATATCAGGGTATACCATTAATACACTTTTTAAGACAACACCTAGTAATAAATGTTAAATTAACATAAGCTAAATGAAGGTCTAATATATACGTTTTAAAACATCTCTTTTCAATAAATAAATAAAGCGATTACGGTCTGAATTTGAACGGTTTCCCATAAAACAAGGGCGCTTCCTCATGTATCCTGCATGATTCGTCTCCTCTAATTTTAGAATATTTGTTATTCCAACTTTAAGAGTCATAGTGTGAAGTCGTGTGATGGTGACGTCACGTGTGTCAATGGCTGCTGCAGAAATAATCCTTGTCAAAATGGAGGAACATGCATAGAAATATGTGAGCTTACGAGCGTTCGGTACAATTGTTCTTGTCCAGCAAAGTTTATGGGTAGACATTGTGAGTTTGATTGAAAAAGCTGCCAGGCCTACAAAGCAGCAGGAGAAAGTAAGTCTGGATTGTACACAATCATTGATGACAGCAATCAATCCTTCCAAGTTTTCTGCGACTTTGACTCTGAACCCGGGTTTGTGTGGAACTTGATCCAGTCGTTCAGCCGTTCTAATACAGATCTGGTTTGGGTAAGTGTTTCTACGTAATACGTAAGACTTTCAGAACTCTCACCTCGCAATTATGCTTCTGTCTGGAGCCAATCGTGTCAGACAGAGGTAGGGGAATGCTCTATGTGGTACCTCACAGCCACAATAGCGAGTTTTTAAAAGGGACCCCACGGCGACACCAGAGAAAACGTAACTTATTAAGTAAAGCCGACAATCTTTCAAACTTAGAAATGATTATTCCAACTGTTTCCATGTTCCTGAGGCAAAGTTTTCCTGGAGTTTGTACACTTAACTTGGAGTAGCTTGTCCGGCGAACTTTCGGTAATCGAACTGAATCGAACTCACTCAAAACGTTTGCCAATCGAACACATTCCAACGTTCGAAAATTGAAGCTTCAACAATCGTACACAACACCACTTTCACTCTGGTTTCAAACAAGGCGTTGCGAAAAGCAGATACGTTATCAGTGTGTTAGCTTCAAACACGAGTGCATTATACAGAGAGAGCGGAAATCAATTAGATAACAATTGTGGAAGCGATGGTTAAGGCTACTACAAGTTCTCTTTCGCCCTCGGTGTTGATGAAAAGTTCCTTAAGAAGAAAAAGAAGAAAAGGAAGAAGAAAAGGGGAGCGGGGTTTCAGCTCCTGAAGATGGCGACGGCCGCCAGCTTGGACTTTGCAACGCGAACTGGTGCCTCAGTCAGCGTTGTCCATTGACCGTCAAATTTGGAGCGTACGTCCCTTGTAGCTCTATCAAGTGAATTCCATATATACCACAGTACCCCGGTATGCAAAACTATTTCTCCCTTTAATGAGCCTGTGAGCAAGCTCTGCCGGGAGCTCTGGCGGCGGGGAGCCACAGGGGAATTGGAGGTGGAATTTAAATTTCAGAGACGTAGTTGCAAGCTCTCCTTCCTTTTCCCGCCCGCTGCCAGAGCACCCCGGAGAGCTTGCTCGCAGGCTATCCCTAACTCTGTGTTCTTCCATTTTACATCAAGTAATAAACCCCTACGCTTAGATTCAACAAAAGTAAAAAAAAAAAATGCTGATCAGTCTGATTGGTGGATTGGACTTAACAATTGTAGAAATTTGCGGTCGAACCTCTTGCGATAAATCATGTAAGAACTCAATGGAGTGAAACGATTATTGTTTGTTTTGCTTTTGTAGCAGCATGTTATACTTTCCAGCTATTCTGATGCCAATGCAGTCAGCGGTGATCACCCAAATTGGCAGGCGTACCTGATCCGCCTAACATACTTTGCATGGCTTTGGACCCAGTCCACTCACTGGCGAGCTACCTGTCGCTATGATACCGACGGAGTTGTGTTGACAGATTACATGCGAACATCCCTGGCAGACTGCAACATACTGACATTGCCGACAGGGGTCGATGGAGCGTGCTACCTGTTCGAATTTATAAACATCCGTGGACACGAGTGTGTTAACTGTACAGTGCCTCTTTGGAATATAAAAGGCACTTACCCTTTGCACACAGATACGTCTTTCCACCGTTGCGAATTCAATGGCACAGAAGGTGTGATTGACTTCGAAGATAATTTTGGTTTTTATAGGGCTATAAACCCGTCTCATCGCTGTTCCTCGGGCCCCAGCTCCACCACCCAGTTCTGGCTAGGGGGCAAGTGAACCAGCCATGTTTTTTAAGACATTCACACCCGGATTTTTTTTCTGACGCCCAGTTCATGGACCACTCGCATGGTCTACCCATATGGACTACCCTAAAATGGACTACGCTGCTGAAGTTTAGTGATTGGGGTTAGGAAACTGAGTGAATCAAGTTTCGGGTCTGTTTTCCCAGTATATTGACCATAAATGGAACATGCTTCACTCCTAACCCTAATCAATTAACTTCAATGGTGTAGTCCTTTTTAGGGTAGTCCATTGGCTAAGGTTTAGTGTTTTGTCCTCACCCTTAGAATCTATAGAATAATACACCCAACATTTCTGATATTAAGACAACTTGATTGACACATCATATTGTTAGATTTGCTGGAGAGGAATCAAAATTACATCAATTTGTTTCCCTCGAAGCAAAAAATACTTAAAAAGTAAGGTGTCTGACAAATCCCAGAAGTTAGCTAACACATTGAAGGATAGAAAAGGATTATCGAGCCAACAAAAACGAATTTTCAATCCGGTGAGCTGGAATCCATTGAAGACTTAGCTCATGTCAACACTTTGTCCAGGAACCGATTCTTACAAATTTTGTGGTACCTGACTAGACGTATCTTGTTGTCCTTTTAAGAAACCTGAGGAAATTCGTGGTTGTTAACCTTGAAAGGTTTTAACATATTTTTTAAGCATTTCACTCGTTTGTTGTGTCTGTTTACACCCTTCCTATTACATCAACATAATGATACCAGTTTTTACTAAATATACGGCTATATTCTGACTATAACATCGACGTTTTTCAAGTTTATTATAATTGGATTTGTATTTTAAGAAGTGATATCTAAGTTGTAACTGTTTTGGGTCAGAAGCCTAGTCATTTCAAAGTTTTTTCTGCACTGTACAATACTGTTTGCACAATTATCTTAATTCATGCGACTCATGACGTCACACATTTGTCATATCCCATAATTTTGTGGCTGTTTTGAAAGAAAATTTTCTGTACTTTCAAAATATATATGGGTTTGTTGTGTTCTGTTATAAAAAAACATGTCAAGCTATTTTGTCATTATAGCTACATTTGTGTGAAATAAATACCCCCTTTCCCCTCCCCCAAGGAGGGGGTCTAAGTTAAAGTATCCATTAGTTTTATTCTTCTGTAACAGAGGGCCATCAAAAAATGGATTTTTTGGCTGCTTCTAGAATGTTTTTAATATTAAAAAATTAGACAAGTAATATTGAATGCGGCTGGTTTTACATGCAGTACAATTCAACCTGGCTCGGTAGAACGACTCCTTGTAGGAGATATCGGCTGAAGGTTCTTTCGGGTTTTGTCAAAAAATAGAAATCTACAACGTTTTTATTTCCACTGAAAAATAGCAATTTATTGATGGAGGTTACTCCCTCTCCCTATCCCAAAATGATAAAACCTCGAACATTTCGTAACTTATTTCCGCCGCCACGACATTCTTGCTAAAACTCGTACTAAAATGACAACAGCTATTAAGGTTTCCCCCCAAAATGACTACTTAGGGACTGTGCAATAATTATCAGGAGGGGGGCTGAAAAACTAGAGGGGGGGGGCATTACATAAAATTGCTGCCAAGATAGGGGGGCTCAAAGTAAAATAACTCATTTGACGGAGGGGGGGCCTTAAGTTTTATTCGAAATTTAAATAAAATTAAACGCAATAAAAGATTCTCAATACAGGCATCATGATAGACTGTAACAAATATCAACACGAACAGCTGTTAAAAGATTATTGAAAATATTCCATCAAAATGAAAAGCAAATTCACAACTGATCAATTTTGACCCATCTTCTAATTAATGTAAAGCAAAAATCATGAGCTTGTTTTTCAGCTTCCCTCATAAAACAATGGGAATCAAACAGATCTCGTAGACAAGCTTTGTCGGTTTTTGATGTGAATAAAAGTAATGTTTCTTCATCGACTGAATCGATTTGCTAAATTCCATATATATCTGGCTCATAACAAAGTTCAACAGGCTCCCCTGCCAAGGATCTAAATATAATGCAAGCTCTTTTTCGTCTGTTATTTGAAGCGTTCAATCTCCTGTTCTTTGAATTTTTCTCTGCTCCTTTCTCTCTCTCTCTCTGGCTTCAGAAGTTTTAGATTTTGAGCCAATGCGGTAAGCACCTCGGTACTTAGCAAATGCTTTGTTTAAATCTTCAATCAAGCGATCAACATCCTTCTCGATACAAGATGTTACATAATAACATTTGTCATTATTGAAGCTGTGACGGCAGCTCAGTCCAGTTTTGAGTTTACCAGTGTGGTGGGAGGGGGGGGGGGTTGTTGGGTTGAGTTTGTTGGTTTAGCTTGGTGTGTGGGTGTGTCGTGGGGTGGTGGGTGGTTGTGTGGTCGTACATAGAGGGGGGGGGTGGGGGGGGGGGTTAAGAATTTAGTTTTTTTTTTTTGGGGGGGGGGTATTTTTTAAGTTTTTTCTAGAGAAATCGAGTTTTTCAGCCCCCCCCCCCCCCCTCCTGATAATTATTGCACAGTCCCTTAGTGCTGAGAAACTCCCGTAGTGGTAGTTGTCCTCGTCTCAAAATCTAAAGCTGTCTTGCTTAGTCCCCGGGGCTCATTATTCGATTATTCCGCGCGTCCTTTGAGTTTTCGGGTCACTTAGTCCGAACTAACTAATTTGACCAGGAAGGCCTGGGAAGCCGCTGAACAGTATATATAAATTTAATTTATATCTATCTTAATATTTAGTCCATATCAATATTATTTATGTTAGTGAATATTTATTTCATATTAGTTCCTCTTTAGAGCCCTTATATGTCCACTTTTAGAATAATCAGCGGATCCATTGAGGTAACATTTATCGTAATGCTTATGGTATATTGTCGTTCTTATGTTATATTTAGAGATCGAATCAGTAGTACTAAAAGAAGGCAAAAGGAGTGGCATGCGACTGAGGCAACGAGGGCCATGCGGCCGGAGCTTAACCTTGTTTCTGAGGAACCTAGGAATATTAAGATTGTTACACGTTTCTGGGAAACTGCTCATCTAGCCCTCCCCTAAGCCAACATTTTGCCTCAAGTGAGAAGTAACGTGTTAATGTTGGCTAAGGAGAGGGCAGATAGGCAGTTTCCCAGACACGTATATATAATGATCTCCCCTCCCCCATTACAGTCATCACTGTAGGGCCACCCCAACCAAAAGGAAAATCTCTAGTTCAAGACATTACAGCGCGAGGGAAAGGCTTGAACCTTGATCTACAGATCCGAAGTTTAAAGGAAGATTTAACATAGGTACCGCACTAGAGTGATTGTAATGTTTATATTGTTCTTTAAAGCGATCGTAGTTTGTAATGATAAATTCCAATTGTAATATAAAATCGCGCAAAAAGGAAATATATACCCTCATAGATCTTTCCTTGAATTTCATATCCACCTGAATACATGTCTGAATGTATTGTAGTTCAGCTAAAAACAGTCACGTCTTCTACCTTCTATTATTTAGTATGTAGTTCTAACTTTGGAGTCTGTGGATGAAATCCTATGGTGTTACCATTCAAATGAAACCTCTTCAGCAGTACTTTCACATGGTACTATTTATTTAGTATGTAGTTCTAACTTTTGAGTCTGTGGATGAAATCCTATGGTACGGGTGTTACCATTCAAATGAAACCTCTTCAGCAGTACTTTCACATGGTACTATTTATTTAGTATGCAGTTATAACTTTGGAGGCTGTGGATGAAATCCTATGGTGTTAACACCATTCAAATGAAACCTCTTAAGCAGCAATGTTACATAGCACAATTTCAATTTTAGATTTTTAAAAAATATATTTTCATTTGAACAAAAATTGTTTCCTTCAATCACTACTAAGATTAAGGGGCTTTTTTTACGCCCTGGAAGTTTTCCTTATTTTTTGAGTCATCAGGGGCTGCTTAACCTTCGAAGAAACAAAAGGGATCGGAAAGAGTAGTTGGGCTGTCATGACAACGAGCCTGGATTTACGCTAATAGTCACTTGAACGAATCGGCCCAAAATGTTTGTTTGTTTGTTTGTTTGTTGTTTGTTTGTTTCTTATCTTATCTTATCCTTTCCTTTCTTTTTTCTTTCCATTTTTTTCCAGGCCGTTTTTTCCGCGCAGTTGCTTATATTCCAAAGGTAACTGCTATGACAATTCCTCATTTTAATCACGTTATTTCTCCTTATAATTTGAGTACCAGGCTTTATCAACCGCCACTGATGCAGGTTAAACAGGTACTAGGATTTAAATCAAGTGGACCGTGAATCTGACAAGTTTTCAATTAGCAGGTGTCTGTTTTTAATCTTGAGTTCTGTTGTATCAAAACGACAAAAATAGCCAAATCAGGGGTCAATCTATTATAAGTGAATCTCATTTTTCCCCTGAGGATATGTTGAAATTTCTACTCATCGTCTGGTTTAGTATCAGCGTGGCTGAGGACTTCAAAGTCCCAAAACCGACCACAACTCAGGCTAAATGGCTAGATTACGAAGTTGGAGCTATAGTTCACTTCAACATGCAGACATTTGATCGATATATGAAACCAGGTAGGCACTTTGCCGGGTTTTTCTTTGAAATAACATAAATTTGTTCCTAGTGCTAGATAAATTCAAAAGACAGGATGGTCTGATCTGGATGTAACTCTGCTAAAATAAGGCGAAATTAAATGCAGTAAATTCTGTGCCATATCGCTTCTCTCAAGGGGGTGTAGTCGTTTGGAAAGCAAATTTTGGCGTTTCGAGGCCTTACTGACTAGACTTAGCCTCGTACAATGGGATGGAACTGACCAAGGTAATTCAAGCGTGCTTCAAAGAAAAAAAAACAAGTATAAACACAGGATAATTAAAAAAGCCTGCTACGGAAGAGACTTTAATTGGCTTCGTCCTCCGCCGTTTAAAGAAGCGCCTGAGGCAAATCATTGAACGTATTCAGGGTAGGCTGTGGAACTAAATTATAATAAAGATTCGCAATTCAAGGCCACAGAAGTACAGTCGTGACCTGCTGGTGAAGATAACCTTCATCACTGGGCTATATTTTATGTCCTCTCAATCCAGCAATCCCAGGGGTTTTTTGAGTCAATACAGACCCCGAAAATACGTTTTAAATTGCCCCTTACAGAGGGTAAAGTTTGTTGATTCTCTTCTTCTACAGCCTACGAGTACTTTTCGTCGTCCTATTCTTCCCGCCAAAATTTCCCAAAAATCACTGAGTGAGCCTGGTCGCAAGCTACTTCATCTTTATAGAATCAACAAAGTATGTTCGGTAAAGACACGTGATACACACTGCATGAAAAATTGGATTTACACCAAATTTACTCAGTGCAAATTTGGTGCCAAAAAGTGCAAACTAAGGTTAAATAAAGGGCAAAGATGGTAAATACCCCATTTGCCCTAAAATTTACACCCCCATGTAAACTGGCAAGCAAATGCCGTATTTACCATCTTTGCTTTTAATTTCCCCCTAGATTGCATTTTTTTGTACCATATTTACACCGAGTAAATTGTGTAAATCCAATTTTTCGTGCAGTGACAGTACAATTGCAAATAATCGCTTGGCAAAATAAGTACGCATTCGACATCTCCCCTCCAAAAAAAAGCCTGTCTCACGAAGGAACCTGAAGATCCGACTCGGTAGAGAGACAGAAATTAAGCCTAATCGCACAACGGCCGCCGTTTTTTTATCTTTGAGCCGTATAACATGTCACAGCTCTCATAAGTTTGTATGCGGACGTCTTGGAACGTGTTGGTGTACAAGACATCAAAAAAGTTAAGCGGTGAATTATGGTCAAACATTTTGCGCTAAGAATCATGCGGAGAGTATCATGACAGTTTGATTTACTCAAAATGCACAACCATAGTCTAATAATATGAAGAAAAGTAATTCTGGGTTAAATTAGGACGTTGAGCTTTGAGATTTTTTCGCGGAGGAAACCGAAATTCCTATCTGAATAGAATTTCGCCTTCGTCCCACGAATATCACCCATGTATACGAAATTTGCGTCGTCGCTCTATCCGGTCCTATCTCATTATGTTTTACCACTCCGGTCTAACACGAATTTTTCTTTTTGTCCGTGCAGCCGGCGTTGTCTTTGTGTGAAATAGCGAACAATAGTCAAACTTACGGTCAGCGGTCAGCATCTGCCATGAGTGAGTCCAATGAAGTTCCTAACCTTTTCACACGTCATGTTACTATGATATATATTTCGACTTAGACTCGCAATGGCCATCCTAGTGTAACCTGCTCCGGGCAACTGATTCAAAAAACGACGAGCGGAGGCTGCAAAGACAAAAGGGGAGGTGCCACCTCCCACTTCCTTAGATAACGCGCATCTTTACGTCTTATTTTCGCTTAACTTCTGAACGGTTCCTACCATGATTTAAGAGGCTGGCACAGACTAACTAACCTGTCGAAAATCTCGTGAATCACATTAAATATTTAGACCTAAAACGTAGCAATTTTAATCTTGCATTAGGAAAAGTGGTAGCTGCAGATGTATTCAACCCATGTGAACTCTCGACCGACCAGTGGGTGAAAGCAGCAAAGAGTTTTGGTGCCAAATACATTATTTTTACCATCGATCACTTTAGCGGCTTCCTCATGTGGCCTAGCAAAACTGATTACAAGTACTCTGTCAAATACACAAAGTGGAGAGAAGGCAAGGGGGATGTTCTGTTAGACTTTATCAAGTCAAGTAAAAAATACGGGTTGGAACATGGCGTGTTTTACAGTGTGCACAACAACTGGTACATGGGAGTAGACAACTATACCACAGGAAGCCCAGCCAGCCAGGAGCGCTATCAAAAAATTGTAGAGGAACAAATGCATGAGCTGTTTCGCGCGCAGTCTCTGTACAAAGACCCTTTTTACATCTGGTTTGATGCCGGTATTGTTCCTGGTGTGAGCCCCAATGTTGGCCCAATAATACGCGATTTAGCAAAAAACTCCTTGTGTGACGAATGTCCAACGTTTGCCGGTGATCAAGGTTTGAGATGGGTTGGGAACGAAAATGCTATGGCTCCTCTACCACACTGGTATGCTGTACCCAAAGGAAAATGCTCCATGAAGACAAATGATGGTGAGTAGAATTAATAATGGTATGGTATAGGCCTATATAGGCCTCGCGTGAGTTGGTGGTTTTGGAAATTTCTGATCCAAGGATTACTAGGGTTTGGAGGCATACTTTGTATAACATTTCATTTCTTCAGTTCCTTTAGCTAAGGATAACTAATGATTTCTAAATCTAAATCTAAATCTTAGTTTTGGGAATGCAATTCGCCGTTTTACAGCGAATACAACCGTCTAGCCAGCTATAAGGAACCTCTAGCGGCGAGGAGGAGGAGAAACGGCTGTATTCAGGGCATTTGCAGAATATACCGTTTGTCCCTCTTTTAATGCAACTCCGAGAAATAAACTCGGGCCCCTTTGGTTACTCACAACAAATTCCCTCTAATATTTTCCGTGATCGTGCTGGAGTGAGGAGAATCCTGTGTTCTGATTGGGCTCCCCGCGTTGGTCCCGCAAGAAAAAGCACCCCTCGATAATAAATCCTTTACTGACCAAGCTTGTTTGGTCAAGGTGGCTGGATATTGGTCTTGTCCTTTTTTTATTGCGTTTTTATAGACCTTGTCTTCGTCTCAGTCCAAAAACGCGCAAAAAAGAACTTGGCCAATATTTAGCTATCTTTACCTCATGCTTGATCAATAACGCAGTAATATAATCATTCTACAACCGATATCGAGGTCTCGGAGGTAGAGTTATCAAGGCCTCAAATTAGCGAGTTAGCCTGCGAGCAAGCTCTCAGGGAAAGGGGGCTCTGGTGAAGGAAGACGGGAGCTTGCTCGCAGGCTAAAGACAATTGCAAGTAGGCCATATTCTAAACTCAGTGTGTATCACTTTAAATTTAATTAATATGAACCTATAGGATGATTAACTAGGTCGCATTAAATGAAAGAAAGAAGTGCGTGTTATTCGGTCTTGTCCGAATAATTTCTTTTTTTGTTGTTTATTGATGTTCAGTTTTCAGGTCAAATCATTTAACAAACTTATTTCAACTAACTTATTTTCTCTTCACAGCCCAAGTGATACAAGGCAATCCATCGGGGGAACTTTTTTGTCCAGCTAACTGCGATACAGTGATACGTGAACATTTTTGGTTTTGGGAGCCTGATACCGAATACTCTGTAAAAAGCGTCTGTAGACTTGTACAGGAATACCTGACAAGCGTTGGACATGGTTGTACACTGCTTCTCAATATCAATCCCGATACCCGCGGGAAAGTACCCGAGAAAGACGTCTCCACGTATGCAGAGCTTGGGAGAGCGATTGAACTGTTGTATAAAGAGCCAGTTGCGAAATATTTCAGTCAGAAACTCCATGTAGAGAAGGAGAAAAAATGGGAGTTTAAGACGTTCGTAAGCCTTAATGGATCTATCGTAATAATGGAAGACATTGCAAAACTCGGTCAGTTAGTCATGAGCTACGAACTCAAGGTTAAAACTGGTGATTGCTGGATTTCAATTGATGAAGAGGGCAGTACTATTGGTCATAAGAGAATTCATCCTTTTCCAAGAGCACTAGCAGAGAAAAAAATATCAGGAATCAGTTTAAGAATAAAGAAGCTTGTAACAGAACAAAGAGATATAACTTTAAGAGAGGTTTCTGTATACAAATGGGACGAAGCTGCAAAACAAAATCTAATTTAATTGCGTTTCAAATTAAGAGAAAATAAAATAGCAGTACCCCAAATCCTACTCACTTCGACTATGTAGACTGAAAACTGACTGTCGGGTGCCTGAAACTGTTCAGTGTTCATGGACAGCCATAAATAGTTCAAAGTTTCTGACGTTGCGGGCTAAGCCGCCTTCTTCAGTGCAATGTCTAAAGGAGTTCTTTTTTAGACACTGTGGGTCCGCTAACAACGAACCTTCCCGATGAAGCGAAGAAAGGATAAGCACCAAAAACGTCTTGGAACTTTGAATATCTTCTGATATATGACTACTTCTACAACTTTATTTTAAAACTGCTGGTATATCTGAGTGCCACGCAGCATACACAGCAGACTCATCCCCATCAGTTCTGTTTTTCACAACTCTCATCCTGACTAGAGCAGAGGAGTCGTCACCAAAAAGTTTTATTAACTGTGTCGTCGTCAGAATTAATCAGTTTTGCCGTACGCTTCTACTTTGATGGCTACAGAGTGCGCCACAATGATGACAAAGATACGGGTAACTATGTGTGACGACAGAATGTCAGACAATAAATTTTGAAAAGGGTAACGTCATCTGAGTGAACATGGTGAATTGTTATTATTATTATTATTATTATTATTATTATCATTATTATCATTATTATTATTATGGTGATTATTTTCAATATCATCTTCAGTTATTATATGCAAAATCACTAGTACAAGGATGTTTTCTTTTTCTGTCCAAAGAAGTGCTCCAGACCTTATGAACACATTTTGTGAATGCATCTTAAAAGAAACGGACTTGCTAACCCATATTTGCAGTTCAACGCGAGTGAAATTTCTATGAATTAACGTTCTTCCTTTTAACAACGGAGTCAGTAAACAGTCCGTTTTACTTCCTGTTTTTTCGGTGGTACATGCGTCATCTGTCAACCTTTTCAAAGCTAGTATTGTGCTTGATTAGTACTATTTTATTAGCTTTCTGTTTTTATCAGCTCTGGGGAGGTGCTCGATATACCAAGGTAAGGGCTACTGATCATTGTTGTGTTCTTTGTGACGTAACTCGGGACTATTCACTTGGTATCAGTCGCGCACCAGCCTCTCTTCGTGTAATTTGTTATTCTAGTCCACAGTATATTCAGTTCAATGTAAATTGTATTTGTTTAGCTAGCCGCTGACCAGCCATTGCCAGATTAGTGTACTAATGGAAATTAGTAAAACCCAACTAGTGGTCTATTATCAATGCTGCGTTCCGATTGGTTGAGCTACTACTAGGCTATATGATACAGCCTACTAGTAGCGAAAAGCACCGGCTTTGAAAACCAAAACAATGGCGGCTGAATCGCGTCAGTTGCTAGCTAAAGTTGTTTTGTCTTGTTATTTTCGACTAAATAGTTGGATTTTACTAAAACAATTATTCCTCTCGCCCTCATGGCCTCTGAGTCAATAGCCCATTAGGCCGATTGACTCAGAGCCCATTTGGGCTCGAGGAATAATTGTTAAATATCCCACGCATGCCGAATTTAATGATTGTGTTATTATTCATTCAAAACAACTCCAAGTTTGAATACAAGCTAAAACATGCTTACCTCCGTCGATGTTAATAGTTCATGTTTATCGTGAAGTTTAGGAGATAAAGGGCTGTTCAGGTCTGCAAATATACTCCAATTAGCAGATTAGCTAAAGTTGTTTTGTCTTGATATTTTCGACCAAATAGTTGGATTTTACTAAAACAATTATTCCTCTCGCCCTCCTGGCCTCTGCGTCAATAGCCCATTCGGCCTTCGGCCTCATGGGCTATGGACTCAGAGCCCATTCGGGCTTGGGGAATAATTGTTAATTATATAATAAAGAAAAGGAAACGATTTCGTCGTATTTTCTGTCAGTGGTCAATTCCTGCCCTCGTTCCTCAGACGACGGGGAAACCATTGGTGGTGTCGGGAAAAATGCCGGCTGTTTTCTCAGGCTAGCTAATTCTGGGCTTTGTTGTTACTGTCGCAGTTAAGCTGGGCGAAGTTGTCTCCCGTTGGGATTTCATTTTATGCTCTGTCGCTAAGGCGTTTAGTCTCCTTCGTGGCTAGCCTGTGAACAGGCTCTTTGTTTGGGGGAAAAAAAAGCGAGGAAAGGGAAGGGAAAGGTGTGTTGCGGTGTAGTCGGGTTGTGTTTTTTCGTTTTTTGTTTTGTGTTTTTTGCTGGTGTGCGTGGGGTGTTTGTCCTGGGTGGGGGTGGCGGGGGAAGGGGGGAGGGGAGGGGGGAAAAAAAGGGGGGGGGGGGGGGGGGGGGGGGGGGGGGGGGGGGGGGGAGAGCTTGTAGACAAACATTTGAGGCCGCTATTCCGCCCTCATGCCGAACTGTCAGTAAGATCGTTAGCTGTCAATCAATTTCGCGCGTGAGTAACACGGTGTTTTGCTCCGTCTGAAAACAGAGTGAAATGGAGCGTGAGCCTCATTGTCGATTTTGCAAAAAGTCGTTGATCTCCGGTAAGAGAATTAATAAGGTGCCGGTCTTTGACGTTTCAAGAAATAACACCTTGCTGGTTGACTGTGGTCAAGATAGCGTTGTACTAGCGCAAGTATTTGAATCCTTAAGATTTTCCCCTTAAGCAAGAAGAAAGCTTTTCCGGTTTAAGCGGCATAACTTGTGCTCGACAGGCCGTTCGTCTTGCTAGTTCAGTTTCTAATTTAACAAGCCCCTGCATGCTGCAATGAGCGAACTTGGAATGCGAAAGGTTTTAGTTCTCCGGAACGAGAAGCCCCGAAGACAAGTACAAAGAGATCAGCAGCGCTTTTCGCCCTTTTCGCTTTTCCCTCTCCCTGGCTGCTCGCTCGACCAAAGGCCTGTTCACAGGCTACTTCGCAGTTCAGTCACGCAACGCTTCTCTCTACGGAGGAGCGTTGCGTGACGAGGCTGAAAAGGAACGATTTGGTCGGGCTTCCCTTGTTGCAATGCGTTCTTGGCAAATCTGTCCCTACAGGACTGGGGACGAGCCTGTAGCCGTTTGCTTTTGCGACCGCAAAGAAACGGCAGAGTTCTACAAAATTCTGCACACATTTAACCTGGCACAGCCCGGCGTATTTCACGACGAAATGAATCGTCTGGAATCAAAGAAACATAGTCCTGCTCAAGTGTTTGCTCAGTTTACTTCTGCGAGTGAAAGTGAAGGCATACCTGGTGCTAGAATCAATTGTAAACACGAAGGAGAGTACGCATCTGACAACAGACGAGAGATACAGATCACAGAAAGTGGAGAAGTTAGTCTACCTCCTGACAAAGCTAGAGTGTCAGTTGTCTGCTCCAACGCAAAAGTAAGTGATCAGTATTTTACAATGGCAACAGTGAACTGCTGTTGCATGTACATTTAATAATAGAAGTAAACTAATACAATGAAATATGCGCGACAAAGTAGGCAAATGTAACCTGGTAACGTAAAAGCGGTGAAGGGAGGTTTGTGATGCATCTTAGCCATCAACATCTCAAATATGTTTAACACTTAAGAATAAAGGTAAGCGAATATGTTTATGGAAATTACTTCCTAGTTTTTTGCCTGATCTTTTGGCCTAGTAAATACAGGTTATGCATTTTTTTGGGGGGGGGTCTGCGACTGGAGAAACATGTGAAATGATCACCCCAGGCGACTGAAGGAGCTACAGTAGACACCGGCTAATAAGAATCTGTGGTTTAAGAACCTGCTGGCAGAAATTTGGCACTGTAATACCCAAAATTTAAGAACCTGTTTAGCCAAGCAAAATCAAGCAGGTTCGATCTTATGTGTGGTTAACGGGTAAATTAAGATAAACATTTTAACCAAGGAGTTTGACTTCGATATTAGAAGAAGATACTGCACTAAACTGCAAATAATAATAGAAGTATTAGAGACCTTTAGGGGGTGTTCACATGACCCTGTGGCGACTTTCGCATCAGCGCAATTCACCCTAGCTGTTGTACCAGAGCGAGAATTTTGCTCCGATGTGAAACAGTATCATGTAAACACAAAATGACCACCGGTTTCAGTGTGAAATCAGTCTGCCAGTGGGCTGGAACGGGTAGCACATGTGTAATGTTTGCGATTTTGATCGCACGTGTATTTTATCAACATGAAGTGTACCTTCAAATAACTGAAAGATGAAATAACCCATCATCATGTAAACATGATATAAAATCAAAAAGTCATTCCTGTATGAAACTCGTGCCCGTACGAGATTTCTCTAAGTATAGTGATCACGCATGAACCAGCGTCATTTTGGCGAGAAAACATGATAACCATTGTCATTCTACCACGAGTCTTAGCAAGAATATCATGGTGGCGGAAACAAGTTTTCTAATGTTAGAAGTTTCAGCATTTTGCAGTCAGGGAAGGGCTTAACCTTCTTCAATAGAGATAACAGTGCTAATTTTTCTGGTGAATCAAAAGTACATTGAAGCTTTCCGGAGTGTCTATTTTTGAGATTGTTTGAAAATCTTAAAGTCAAGTCTCCTACTCGTAGTCATTAACTCGCCTTTGAATCTAAAGGTCTCTATTACTGTAATTCTTACAATGACAAAAGGTTAATAAAATAAAAAGATTGTAATTTCTTCTTGGACGTTGCATAAAGGAGGTTTTCAATGTACAGTTGTGAATAAATACTGTATATTTAAGGCCCAACCTCAAGTTTCTTTATTTTTTCTCGTAGTAAACAACTATAATTCTCCTTCGTAGAAATTAATAACCTTATTTAAGAACCTACTTAGCCTAAATTGCCAATAACTACCCCCAAATAAAAGAACCTTTTTTGCCAGACCTTAAAAACTGCAGGTTCTTATTAGCAGGTGTTTCATGTGTATTCATGGTGAGGTCCACATGTTCTGGTCAAAGCTGAGCTGAAAGTACCCAGTTGGAGGAGGGGTGGGGGGGGATAACTTGGTTAGTTTTTGCTGGGCATGTGCCACTGGCCTCTCTGAAGCCCTAACCCATTATAGTCTATTCTGTGGCCAATTATAGACAGGCTCCATCTTGGTCACTTCTGGGAAGATGTAATTTTCACGATCCCAACTTAGTAAATAACTGCCTGTTCGTGCATATAGCTTATAAAGACATTGAACTAGGTCATCCTAAAGTGAATTGACTCATTACTAAGCTTGATATAGTAAAAATCTTCCCATTTTAAAATCCTTTCCTACAGTATCTGAATTTTCTGACCTCCAATATCCAGGAAGTGGATGACCCCACTCTAGTAACTCTATTGAAAATGCAACCCTATGACAGGTCAGCCGTATAGTCAATCCAGTTGTGAAAATGCAACCCCATACAGCAAAGAAATATATCAATTGGCTGAGAGGGAAAAAGACTCAGCCATTTTTGAAAGGCAATCAATACAAAACAAACTTGTGTCATGTTAAATGCACCAGTGTAGACAGGGTCTAATTCAATACATGTTTTTATGCAGGAGTCTGTCGAGGAGGTGAAAACCAGCGTGAATCGTCGTGTGGACTATGTGCTACAGACACTGAAATCTTATCACATCAAGGATTTTACCATTCATAAATCTTTGCAAAGAGTTGAAAAGCTATATCAGATGGAAGTTGAAGTTGTCGTAGAATTTAGTGACTTTTCCAAGTGTGAACAAGTTTGTAACCTTCTGGTAGAAAAACTTGACGAGACAGTTAAAGTATCGCATCCTTTTTTATATCATACACCAAGCAAGCTTGATTCATTAAGGTATGGATGGTTTGGACAGTATATAGCACTTACTTATATAGGCAAGTGTAAAACGATTAAGAGTGAGTTGACACTTTGTTTTAGTCTATTCCAGGGATTCAGATATAAGTGGTTAGTGGTGCAAAATGGAGTGTGGAGAGAATGAAATGGGAAAGAAAGGGAGATGGAGATAGGAGGGAAAGCTTGTGGGATTTTTTTCAAAAACCATTCCAACCACCAATAGCCAGCTAGTAATCTGACATAGTTTTTGGCTTTTTGCTCTGAAAAGTTGTCAATCAAGCAATGGGTGATAGACCCCACAAACTGTTAACTGGATGCTAGTGATTTTCAGTTAGATCATAGTAATGTTGTAGTGGCTTTTTCAAAAGAAGAACAAGTCAAAACCGAAGCAAAGAAAACACACAAAACCGGATAAGAGCATTGTCTGAGGGTTCCTTTGTCATGGTGGAGATGATGTAAGCACATGAAGGCACATGGCCCAGAAGTGAAAAATGAAAACTAACTGTTTACAGCAATATCATTACAATAATCCTGTGACAGTTTCTTTGCATCTGTATTCTATGAAATTTATCTGCTAAAAATTAATGCTCCTATGCTCATGCAGGTTTCTTCATAATTGCCAGCAGCCCACTGGCTAAAATAACTGCCTGTTTGGGGGTTCGAGCTGTCTACTTTTTGAGCAAATTGGATTGAGGGAGAGATTGAAAGCATAAAATTGCCTGCAGCTCTCAGTTACCAAGGCGCCTACTTTTACATCCTAGCTGTCTACTATAAAACTTAATGCGAACCCTGCTTATGTGTATCTTTGGAAGATGTTATGGGTTCTTATTTTGGTTAAGTTTAATAATATGATTATGCCAAATACGTTTCAGAGAAATCATTGAGCAGAGGTCCGTAACTAGAAAGTCATTCAGAATTTCAGCAATGTGAATTGTTTTAAAATTTCGACAACGAATTGCTCTGAGGCAGAACAGGCCTGCAATTTGAAATTTCAGATGGAGCCACCTTAAGTGTCATGGTGCTAATCGAGAGTGTTGGGGTATGTGGCACATACAATTTAAAGTTCTCTTTCTTTTAATTATGCTTGGTTTATGGTTATTGTTTTCAGGCGACAAGCATGTGTTTGTGCTGTGAGAAATGCAAAGAACAAAGCACTTGAAGTTGTTCAAATGTTTAACCAGTCCTTGGGACCTCCTATTTTAATACGAGAAGAACATCATGATGAATCTGTCGGGACAAGCACAGAACATGCGGATAAGACAGAGGATCAACTAACTTTTCAGCAGAAGGTTGCTGCAGGAACAGTAACAGTTAATGTCAGGATCTTTGTTATATTTGAGATCAAAGAGAAAGCAAAAGCTCATAAACGAAAGTAGACTTATTGTTTTATTAGCACAACAATAATTTAAATAATCATTATATATTACATATAGATACTGTCTTTTACTGGGAAGATACCTGAAGATGTTTCAAACTAATCTACTGTGGCTATAGAAAGCGTATGACTTATTTTTTTCTGTGACAATCTCTAAAATAAGAATGATTGAAAAACTATGCAAGGCCACACAAGTTCTCAATACCTGGATGTATTGCAAATTATCTATAAATACTAGAAATGTACAGTCCCTTTTTTATTACAGAAAGAGAAATAGTCATTGTATGTAAATATTGAAGCTGTGCACTAAATTATTCTGGATTCATTAGCTGTGTCTTTACTGCTTGATCCACCAAAACTTGTGAAAGTGATACGTAAGCTTTGTTTTACATGTAAGTTTATACCTCCCATGACCTCAGGGATGTCACTAAGATTTCAAGTTGCTGGGTAAATACAACAAGTAGGCAGGCAATCAAACAGCTAGAAATTTCTTTTGGTTCCATAATTATTTCTTCTATTTTCCTATGAAATTCGCCAGTTACCATGTTCATAGCAGCCAGGGGAAATCCCCGGCCCCCAGCTCTTAATGACAGCCCTGTAAGCTGATACAGTACTCTAACTACTGGGTATTGGTTTTCACAAGAAACCCATAAGGGGTTGTTCAACCCCTTATGAGTTTCTGTTTTCACTTAAGGGCGGTAGGTAAAACTCAAAGAGCTATAAGAAGTAAAGGAAAGACAATTTTATTTATACCAACTGAATACAATAATTATTATTTTACTTTGCCTGAAAGGGGTATGTTTTTCAGGCTTGAGGTATATGAAAGGGTAGGGAAATAATGTCGTTCCAGTCTTTAAAAGGATCTAAAAGGGCTAAGCTACAGTCATATTTTATGGAGGTGAAGAGACAAGAAAGCTTCCTGGTGTTGTAATTTATTCATATTTTTAAGACTGTGCATTTACAGCAATTAAAAGGGATGCAGTTTTTTGTAAAGTAAGTATGAGAAAGGAATACCATTTGTCAATAGAATGTATAGTGTTTTTCATAAACACTCATGTTCATTATAACAGGTATTATTATTCATTCAAAATATTTTCCCGATTCTGATTGGCTAAAAGCACTCGTTTAATTCACCATAAACAGTTACTGATGACCGAATTTCGAAGAATTTTGTGTTATTAACGAGGAACTCAAAGACAACTAACGACAACTCAAAGGGTGACATCTGCTATTTGGAGAATATTTGCGGAGCTAGACAAACCTAAACGCACACTATCGAAGATGAACTTAACATCGATGGATCAATGGATCAATAATAAAACAATTATTGAATTCAGCTTTCGTATCATATGAAGAATTATGGAGATCTTGGAGATCTCGCCTACGGCCTCAACGGATAACACCCTCCTCAATCTCCATAATTCTTCATAAGATACTCAACCTCATTCATTAATTGTTAAATAATATAATAAACATTTTCTTTTTTATCACCTATCCCTCCCAAAGTTGATGAACTTTCAGTGATTATGTTTAAGTAATGGTCCAGATTAGAAGGAAAGAATCAAACGCAATAGACACATGTCTCTACTACACTTCTGATTGGTTTAAACGTCAAGTTTTGCAAATTAATCTCAACAAAGCAGCATGAATATTAACCCCTTTTTTTCTAACCAACTTCCTTATAACAAAATCCCTTCAAGTCTAAGTAACACAGAAATCCTAGGTGACGAACATGTAAAATTGTAAACTCTCCTTGTTTATTGTTTTCAACCCTTATGATTGGTTGAAATCTTTTAACACAAAAAAGCACCCTTTAAAAATGGAGTTTTAATATATTTTATTTCATAGACTGCCTTTTTGTACATTTTAGCATTCTCTGTGTAAAAATGAAAACATTCCTAAGTGAGGAAAGCGTATTACGCCATAACAAAAGAAATATTGCTTCCCTTTTTACCAGGGTCACTACTTAATAAACATTATCTTAAATCTGATCACAAAGTGAATGCTTTTATGGATTGCAAGTGTTGAATGAGTGGTTGCTTGCGGTAACTTCAAAACAAAGAAAAGACCATACAATATCTCACAAATGTGTGACCGTCAATTGAGGGAGTTGTCACTTATGATAGCTTTTCATTACAGAGCTTTTGTCACAATTCTACAGGTTGTCACTGGCTGGTCACCTACTAGAGTGGTCGCAAGAGGAGCTTCAACAGTATAAAGAATGAACCACAAATAGCTACCCATAAATGACTTTTTGAAGTGGATTTTCTGTCTTGTATTAACACATGTTCACCTGAGGGAGGTTTCTCGAGCTTAGATGTAGACCCTGCAAAGAGTGTTTCCATCCACTAACAAGTACAAGTGGTGTCTACTACAAGTTAAAAATATAGGGTTTACAGTGTAGTCTGCAGTTATTCAAAAGGTGAATAGTGCTATCCACTAGATAAATCTCTATCCAGTGGATAATGCAATTGGCTCCTCAAATACTTACCTGGAGTGTAGTGATTTATCTGCTATCTGGCTTTTGACATGAATAGCCTGCTCAGGGTGCAAAGAAAGTCATTTTTACAGCTTGCCATTCGGGCAAGCTGAAGCTAACATTTACTAGCCCAAACATCACTTCAACTAGCCCCAAAAACGTTTTGATGAGCAGACTGATTTCACAGTTCTTCTGTAATTTGAATTCCTCAAAAAACTTCACTTGCCCGTTGGGCAAGTTAATAACAGAATTCACTAGCCCAATAGTAAAATTCACTAGCCCCGGGCTGTCGGACACTACTTTCTTTGCACGCTGCCTGCTTCACAGCCGTTCTTTGTGTCATCATGCAATGCTGTTGGGAAGAGCAGTGCATGATGACAGAAAAAGGTTGTAAAGCAGACTAGCTTTTGAACAACCACGGCCAAGACTATAGTGTCAGTGGAGGTTTAGACCCTACTAGACATAACTTTCCAGAAGAAACAGGAACTTCATGAATGTTTGAAATTGGCCATTCTGAAGTGGAGACTGTGTTGTTTATACAACTAGCTGTTTTGAGGTTTGAACTTTGACCCAGTTTCTGATCAAATTTTGAATCCCCCTAAACATTCTCATAATGCATTTTGACAAAACAGACCACCAGTCTAACAGGCAATATCAAAATGGCCCATATATGATCTTGACAGATATAATGCGCAGGTACTGTTCAGTTACTATGACGTCTTTTTCTCTCCCTTGGAGTTCCAAGCACTTATTAGCTTGTTTCCATAGTACAGGCTGATGCCGTGAAACTGTATAACAAAAGCTACAGCAGCCATTTTCATCGGTGCATTTTGCCATTCCTGTGAGGCAGGGACTCTTCCTTGACGGATGTTGAAAAAGATATCTTGTAACATGGCACAAGCTCCAAAAACTAAAGGACCCACTCCAAGAAGCAGAATTCCACATGCACAAATGTACATCTGCTTAATATTGTTTTTTGGAAGGCTTGCAAGTCCAACAACTGCAGGAATGATGCTCAGTAACCAGGCCAGTTCCCAGGGCTCTAGGTTCGCCTTGCTTAACCTGTGTATGAAGAACAAACCTGGTTAATCTGTGTATGAAAAGCAAACCAGATAAGTATCAGGCCCATTTACTGGCATGAGGCCCTTTTTTAGGAGGTCATATAACTTTTTCTTGTTGTGCTCAAAGATTAGCTACAGCTGTAGTCCCTGTCCAAATGTTTTAGAAAATGTTTGGACTCAAGATTTGGAATGGAACAGGATATCCTCATTCAAAATTGTTCGAGTAAGAACAGCGTATAATATTCAAACTAAAGAAAACTTCTAAAGAAGAACCAAGCTTGAATGGGGTAATTAAGAATTGGCCTCTCTATGGGAAAAGGCACCATTTTAAATCCGTTTTTTAATTGGAATAGGATATGGATTTGGATGCACTCATCTAAAACCTACGTGACCACGCAATTGAGGATGGGGTTGGGGACATTCAATTTCAATATATCCGCAACCCTAAAAACGGCTTAAATCTGAACCCTCCATTTTTTGTCATCGCCCTTTGAAAAACCCTAAAGAACCTAAAGGGTTGACTTTTAAAAACAAATGCCCTAAGGGTAAAAATTTTGACAGCTTCTTTGAAGGAAAAAGTCTGGGCCTCCTATTCTGAACCCACCATCCTCTAAGTGTAGTGGAACTCTGGGAAACATGATCAGGTGATTTCGTACGAACACATGGTGAATAGAATGTGATTGAGTCGTGTTGTTTTCTTTATTAAAGTTGAGTTTAGTACAAAATTTTTTCGCACGTCTACAAGTGGTGGAGAATTTAATTGGGGGGGTGGGGGGGGGGAGGTTTCGTACAAAAATGGGATGCCCCCTGTTGAATGATCTTGATGTTCACACATATATCAACTTAGAAGCTCCCGTCACCAAATATTGATTCTGCGAATTTACTTCACATTCAAATTTACGAACCTACCCACTGTAAGCTGCAGTGACCCAAGCTCCGAAACCCAGGTTAAGAATTAACTGGAAACAAAGACAGGCCTTCAATTTTGCCTTCCATTGAACGCTTTCCTTGTAGTGGGAAGCCACACGCTGTCTGTGTGTAAAGTCTGATCCATCCGTACCAGAAGCACGAGGTCCATCTCTCGAGGCCATGATCTCAAAACTGTAAGATGATTTATTCGGTTTCTTCAAAAATTTTAACTCTCTATTATATCCGTTCTGATCGTCGTCTTATCTGTGATCTCTGAGGTGATTGGGTTCCATGTCAGCGGTGTTACTCTTTGTTCATGCGTTTATGAGCAACACTGCCGCCATTTTGTTTTTTCACGGGTGAAATTAGGAAAGCATGAGTTTCATATCTGACGAACTTGCCAACGTTTTAAAATCCGTGTACATGAAGGAAGAGAGTGGAAAAGTAGAAGATGTAAATTTTTCGATAAAATTAGACAAGGATGATGTTGATATTCCTAAAGTAGAGAAGCGCTCGAGAAAGCACAAGCACAAAAAGCATTCGTCCAAGTCAAAGTCGAGAGACAAGAAAAAGCACAAGAAACGAAAACGTAAATCCAGATCCAGATCTAGTTCGGAATCACGCTTCAGATCAAGGTCGCGTTCAACTGAACAAGAAAATTCTAAGCCACATAAGAGCCGTCCGCTTTCGTCAAGGTCAAAATCACCTGATGAAATTGACCAATCTGATTTTGTTCTGCAGAAGGAGAGAGCAGACGAAGATGACAAAGATCTTAGCTCGGACAAAGAACGAAATAACTTAAAATCTAAGGAGGCTTTTGAGACAGTTTCATCTTCTGCAGATCTTGGCTTTAAGGAAAAGTGTAAAGAAATAGCTGTGTCTAAATCCAAAACGTTGGAAGACGAAAGCGAAGGAGGTAATGCTGAAAGTGTGGATGAGAAAACTTTAAACTTGCATAATCTCTCCCCAGCATCCAAAAAAGAAAAAGAAAGATCTGGTAGTAGGGGCAAATCAGAGGAGAAAGTAACTCAGTCAAAACAGAAAAACAGTCCTTCGCATTCAAGGGGTAAATCAAGATCACCAGACGACAAGTCATCTCAAACTTTGAAACAAAGACAATCAAGGTCACACTCCAGAGACCAACACATTGCAAAGAAGTTGAGATCATGTTCTAAGGAATCAGTGCATCGCAAAACATCCAGATCTAGATCAAGCTCAAGAAATAAAAAAAAAGCAAACTCACATTCAAGATCAAGTTCTAGATCAAAGTCCAGATCAAGGTCACTCTCAAGGAATAAATCAGCCAAACGGAGGAAGTCTAAGTCTAGGTCACATTCTACAGGAAAAAACAGAAACAGGCGTGGTTCAAGGTCACGATCTCGCTCTCACTCACATAGTAAGTCAAGAAAGTCAAGGTCACGTTCAAAACAAAGATCAACCAAGCAAAAGAGAACAAAGTCCAGATCGCATTCTAAGGAACGAAACCAAAAAAGAAGTCTTTCAAAGTCGCGTTCCCGCTCTCATTCGCGTAGTAAATCTAGATCAAGGTCGCGATCACCAAGGTATAAGAGAACACGTTCTAGATCAAGGAGGAGATCTCCTGTATTTAGGAATTTTCAAAGGTTTTCACCTCCTCCCTGGAGGAGAGGCTCAGGTTCATTTCGACGGCGGTCACGATCAACTTCAAGGTCTCGAAGATCGAGTTCAAGGAGAAGAAGTTATTCAAGACGGAGAGATTCACGTTCCAGATCTGATTCAAGATCTAAGTCAAGACAAACGAGTGGCCGGAGATCTCACTCAAGATCTAGAGTGAGGAGATCAAGGTCAAGATCTCACGTACGAAATAGGAAATCTCGATCTGTATCGAAGGGAAAGAGAAGAAGGTCTAGGTCTCTCTCACACTCAAAAGGAAAAGGAAGAAGGTCAACATCAAGGGACAGAAACAGGACCAGATCTCGTTCAAAGTCTAAGTCAAAAGATCAAACACAAACTGTAGGGGTGTTACCAAATCCAAAAACAAACACAGCAACTGCAAACAATGTGTCTAGCGTAACTGACAAGCCAGTTGCTACTACTCTCTCTTCACAGCAGGTCAAAGTTGCTCAGAAAGCTGGAGGGAAGACCATTGCAGAGCTGACAGCTTTCTGCAAAAAATTACAGGAGGAAAAAGAAGATAGTGAAAACGTTAAAAGTGAGGATGGCAGTAAAGTAGATGAGGAGCAAACTCAGACTGTGACACATCATCCATTTTTGGTGAAAGAGAAACCTGATATCACCATTCCACCAGTTATCTTTCCTGTAAGTTCACTTCAGTAAAATAAGTAATTGTAACAGGACCGAGTGGAGTCCAATTCGGTCTGTAATCATACGAGTGATTAAGAAAATCAGGCGACTGTGAAGCGGGAGTCCGATTTGTTTAATCACGAGTATGATTACAGACCGAATTGGACGACACTAAGTTCTCTTACCAATTAATCATAACTTTAACAAAATTTGTGATACAATGGCTATTTTTTAAACCAAAACACAAGAAATTCAAAAGTTTGTTTTGCTAGCAGTGAAAAAAAAAGGCCATTTAAGCGCGCGCGTGATGGCGCGTACTGTCCAATTACTTAGGCATGACGCGTATTGTCCTATCAAACTGTCCAATTAAGGCTGAAATCAGGGCAGTTGAGAGCCAATCAGATTTGACAATTTTGTTATAGTTATGATTATTATAATAATAATAATAATAGGGAGCTCAAGCAACAACGATGACAACGGCTACGAAAATGTCTCGTAAAGAGTGACGTCGCGCTGCTTCAAACTTTATTGCGCTTATTCCATCTCATTCAGTTTGTCAAATGTCAGCAATTTTTTCTGAAGTTGACTTCTAAAAGACTGTATCAAAGTTCAGGAAAAGAAAAAGAATGCTGTTGTCTTGTGTTCATAATTATTCTCCACAAAAGGTAAAATTGGGCATTTTCATGTTGTCGTTGTGCAGTGACGGCAAATAAATTTGCAAAAAAACATGATGCACGTGCAGAATTGTTGTTTTGCCTAATCTATACCTATTGCTTTTGTGCCGTTCCTGTTGATGCCGATGTCATTGCTTAAGCTCCCTAATGACAAAGACTCTTGTGAATATCAAACGTGCATGTATTGTTTTAAGTTGTATCAATGTACAGCCATATTTTTCCTAGCCTGTAGGACAGTTGAATAAATGAAGGCAGGGTTTTAACAGTCTCATCTGTACGCCAGGACAAGGAGATTTTTTTGTTATTATTATTATTATTTTCATTGCCAACAGGCAGCCTTTTGAAGACGCGAGGGCCATGAGGCAGTAGCCTACACTGTAATAGAGCCATGCATGATAGTTCCAGGGGCAGAAAAAATCTTGAATCAGTGTAACATATAGCAATGTAAGGCAACATTTATGACGTAACACGGAACAGGGAATGCATTGTTTTTGAGCATACACATGATACAGAACATAGAATCCACGAGCCGTGTGCGTGCTTGTGAGTCCTGTGTTCATCCTGCCTTATTTACATTTGAATTTGCATCATATGCTTAAGGCCGATACACAGGAGGGGTTTTGCTCCCGGAGCATGCTCCCGGATCATTTTGCACGTGTCAGTACACACGAGGGAGCGTTTTCAAGTTCGCTCTATTTGCCCCGGGAGCTTGCTCCTAAATATTTAACCGGTTAAATATCATGGAGTATTTTGCAGGCTGGAAATTCTGCTCCCGAGGATAAAGTATATCTGTGGAATCGTTGGTACACACGGAGGAGCTTTGCTCGCGGAGCGTGCCCATGGAGCATGCTCCAGGAGCAAAATCCCTCGTGTATATGGGCTTTTATGGCTGCTCATTTGTCTATTTTTTATTCTATGCCTTTAAGGAAATTAATAATGCTGCAAAATGTTTTGTGTCTTTGAAGCAAAATTATTCAGAAGGCTTCATTTGCGCACCATCAATTTTTTTAGCCTTAAAAAGAGACCAAATATAAGTCTGTATGTTGAATATTCACGGACTTTAATATGATTTTTCAAGGATTATTATACCACTAAATTCCACACAAAATGACATGCGCGCAACTTTAGACAACAACATGAACTTCAATATCTCGAAAAATTTGGTAGGTAAAGTGGAGATTTCAGATTCTTTTTGTAGTAGAACAGTTTAGTTCACTGTTTTCAAAAGACAAACTTAAAGCAAGGGGCACTCATACTCCCACCCATGATCTGCCTTCCCCGCCCATGTTGTGGGAGAACTGCTGTGTGGTTCCCAGCCAACAGCTCCCACATGTGTTGTGTGGAGCTGGCGCTTTAAGGAGTGCTTTGCCTTCACCTTGGCAGTAAAGGGTCTTTGAGACATGGGTTTCCCTGTTCATTGACCGATGGCTATGCAATGCTGATGATTCCCAATAAGGGCAAAACGGCTGTCCACGGCTGCCACTGCCCACGTGATATGGCTGTGCGCATGTTTGAGGGACTGGCCAGGCCATCACGTGGGTTGGTGCCCCTTGCTTTAATTTACTGGTAACTTGTGATCCACCTTCCCCGCGCATGTCGTGGGAGAACTGCTGTGTGGTTCCCAGCCAACAGCTACCACGTGTTGTGTGAAGCTAGTGCTTAATAGAGTGTTTTGCACTGGCCTTGGTAGTAAAGGGTCTTTCAGACACAGCTTTTCCCAGTTCATTGACCCAACAGCTTTGTCTTGTTGGTGAACCCCAATAAGGGTGAAACAGCCATCCATGGCTGCTACTGCCAACGTGATATGGCTGTGCGCATGCGTGAGGTACTGGCCAGGCCGTCAAGTGGGTTGGTGTATGTGAGTCCCTTGCTTTAAGTTTACACTATTTTCAAGGTAATTTTCGCTTACGTGGTGAAATTAGGTTTAATCTCTTTTTCATAAATTACGGTAATTCATTACATTTTTAAACAAATTGAACAGTGCACACATATAGGTAAAATCTTTGCTTGTTGGCACTTGGTGATAGCTAGGACTAGTTATAGAACTCTACAGTGTACAGTGCAAATGGTCTTGTCACTACATTGAAGATGTTTGATAAATGTAAGTATGCAATATATTAATCAAGTATTTGCTTGCATGTAGGTCAACATGAACAAACCCAGTCTCCCAGCAGTCGACCCAAGCAAACCATTGCAGGAACAGTTCCCAGTCTCCTGTGGTAGTAAGCACAGAGAGAAAGAACATGTTAATGATGGAGCTGGGATAGTAGCTGATGTTGATGGCTCCGTAAATCAACAACAGCAGATAAATGAA